CGATCAAGGGTTTTTGCATAATTTCATGCAGTAAGTAAAACAGTTAACATCACGCATGGTGTTACTTTACAATTTGATTCGTATGCTCATGTTGGAAATATTGCTGGTTTTTATGCAGCGAATCAGGCTGCTACAGCCAGCAAAAACGCATATTGTCGAGAGGCTGTGTGTGTGTGTGTTTAGAAGCGAGTGCATTTTGTCACCCACTTTCATCTCAGCAACCAGGAAACTGGGAGGCTGAAATTTTGGATATATTTTCCCACTCCGTGTGTCACCCTCCCGTTTTAAGATCTTCTCTCACACGTGCCTAGACTCTGCGTACGGACCCCCCAAAAAAATATGCAAATTTCTTTGGCGGGAAGCGATTTGGCGAACCAGGCAAGGCACAAACCTGAAACTTTGCATGAATATTCTCTGTTTAAGTGCGAGCTAAAGATTTCAAATTCAGCTGTCGAGCACTCTTGCGTTCGACCACGTCAAAGCTTTCGGCCTGGTACTATGCTAATTCGAAAACCTGCCTGAAACAGTGGCTGAAATTTTGTTATCATGTTTGTCTCCCACATAGGAAATAGTACGCCTAAAATGAGAGCCCAATTGCACTTGCGTAACGACTTAGGGCACTTCAAAGATATTTCTAGCGAAGTGGATGTTTCGCTCGCCGTATAAGCTACGAGGCTGAAAATTTGCTGGGAGTTTGGTCTTAATTCTGCTTGGACGTGTAATTCCCTCCAGGTAGGCCTGAGAAATACTCAGCTTTACCGAAAAATCAGAAACGAGTGCGTTTTGCAGCGAATGACCGCCCTCATCCAAATATTTAAATGAACATGAGTTCATTTGCATAATTGGATTTTTTCATAAACGACCGCTCGAGCAATACTTCCACTTTTTAGTGATCTGAAAATTTACATTTTTTCGAAAAATCTGCATTTTCATTTTTTCAAAAATCTAGCATTTACCTAAAAAACGACTGAGCTTCATACAAAAAACTGGTATTCATGTGTCTGCAGGTCCATGTGGCTCTATAACGCAACATCCTCATCCCAACCGATGCCCATTCTGCTGCATGCCGGAATAAACCAAAGCATGGCTAATATGAGCCCAAATGCTTGGCTGCGGCGCAGAGATTATTCCTGCTATTAACGATTTGCGAGTTTAGTGCAAAAACACACGATCGCACCGGCAAATCTGGTGCGTTTCCAGCCTGGGTTTTTTGCAGAGAAAGCCATTGGCTGAGGTGGTAGCGTTGTATTGTACACCAAATTTCGGCTTTCTGTAATACGAGCAGTTTTACAAATTTCGATGTGTCCGCATATGAACTCCATGTTCGTGAAAACTCATTCTGCACTTGTGGAAATATGGACAGTAAATGTCTTAAAGGTATAGCTTTTTTATACAGAGCATGTGAAATTTGCTATGTGAGCACTTGAAACGTAAACGCAAGGGAAATTGATCTTATACTTTTGGTAGAGTCACAAGATCAAATAAAATTTTTGTAAAATTATAGCTTTGTGGCCTGTCCAATTTCCAAAACAAAAGCTGTATGGCTGGAAAACCAGACAACTGGCCCACTTATTCCGTAAGTAATATTAGGGGATATGCCTCATCGCCGTATCAAAGGCTCTCTTGATTGCACTTGTGTTACGCACAAAAACTCTGTTTTACTTCTTTTAATCAGGCTTTTCTATGAAAAAATCTGGAGCTTCTTTTAAGGCATCAGATTTGTTACCTGGCTTTTTCGATATCGTTCCGCGCATTATCGGTCAAAGACCTGATCAGTTCGGTGAATGTCGTAACCTCGGATTGTGCCATGCTAATTGCCACCTCATCAATAGCTTCGAATACTGATGTATTGGTGTAGATGTCCCGCTTGCTACACATTGGCGGCTGTGGCGGCGGCGGTGTTGTAGGATATGACGGTGGCCCACTGTTTGATGAATCGTCCTCACATTCCTAATACGAAGCTCAATGAAGTTTTCGAATTTACTATTTGGACCTTTGCTGGAAATACTTGGTGTTTACGGGACTATCACTGCGACGAATTACCTTGCATGACATAGTGATTTTCGACAGGTGCATGCTCACGGGCTTCAAAAACGAGGCGGCGTACCTCCCGACTTCAGCATTTTTCTCACATTTCCTAATTTTTGTTCGTCTTCGTAGATGCAAATGAAAGAAAACTTAGGCTGTTGCACACCAAAATTGCAGGTGTAGTCATGTGTTTTTGTGCTATACTTAAAGGTCGTTAACTGTATGAAAGATTGTTGCCCTGCACTTAACTAGTACACTCATTACCGTAAGTTTTGTGTGAAGGAAAATGAATAATTTTCGATTCTTTGAAAATGGCCCAGTTGTTCTGGCTCCCAAGCTACCAGTCTTCTCGCCAAAACTTTCACATACCCACACGTGAATCGCAGATGTGCGTACAAATTGGCACCACCTCTCTGGGATAGCGCTTAATCAAGGAAATCATCGGCAAAATTTCAGCAACAAAACTTGTCAGGTTGTCAAGTTGAAGCACCCAAACAGACAGACACAATGTATGCCATTAGTCACAATATGCGCTTTTGCATTTGTATAAATTTGCATCACAGGATTATCTACAATATGTTTCATGTAAGCATGTGTCGTTTACCTGAAGAATTCAACCTCAAAAACTACTGGAATTAGAGATTGCCTGAACTTTTCCACCTCACTCCCTACACACCATTCATTATACGGTATACGCTTCTGTTTTCAATTTACGATGTTGTGGAATAACACAATCAAAATGTTTATGGAAATAGAAGCAGTGCTACTAATTCATTTCAGAAATCAAAACGACCTTATAATCTCTAAGTGAAAACCTAATCGTAAATAATTATTCTACAAAACAGGGGGTGAAGTGCTGCATTACCTTCGTTTATAAATGCGTGTGTTTGCGTGCATGGCAAGTGGAGCTACTTTCGCGCTGTACGTGAAGGGCTCCACTTCGTCGGTGAACAACAATATCTTCGCCTTCCGTTGGCATGGTCAGAGGGGAGGAGCAGAGGGGAGGGACGGGCGGAGGAGGAAGGGGTTGGGTAAGTACCCTCAGGCACAGGTTAGAGCAAGAAAGAGGAGAGGAACAAGGGAGCTAGCGGGAAATACGGGACGATCAGTGATGATAGTGTTGGGGGGTGGTGGGTAATGGGTGTCTGCATACCGCTCTGCGGAGCAGGGTTTAGGGATAGGATAGAGATGGAAAACAAGCTTATTTATGAAGTTGTTTATTAAGCTGATGCTTAGGTAAAGCTGAGAGCTATCAGCTTTGCCTATGCAACTTGACTTCGTTTGCTTTCAACTTTACTTAAGCATAAGCTTCATAAATGGGGAAGTCCTTTGCTAATAGCTGGTTTTTCGTTTGCAGGAAGCTCGTCTCCAGTAGTGGGCTTCCGTATTTATGAATCTGATGTTTAGGTAAAGCCGAGACCTCTAAAGATTATCTTCGCAGTTTCACCTCATTCTCTTTCACTTTACATGAGGATCAGCTTTATGGATGAGGAAGTCCCCTATTGATGGCGGTTTTTTGTTTACTTTTCTTGCTTTTACTTTTTTCCTGCTTTCCTCCTTTTCACTCATCACCCCCTCTCTCTCCTTCATGTGGCCTAGGCAACTGCCAAGAGATGTACACCGCTCAATCCACCCACCCAATCCCCACCTCTCGCTTCAAATCCCTGTGTACAAAATCCGCACACACCATCCCTCACACCTCCCCCAATCTCCTCTCCGTGTCTCGAATCCCACACCCAAAAAATATGCTCATGCATTGCATGGGCATATTTTCCCTTCATCCC